GGAGGGAAAGATCCATCCGCCGCGCATTCTAATTTCATCCTCCGTTTCTGGACTCTGGACGGACACCCGCTTCGTTTCGACGGCCGTAACGTTAACGAGGGACGGTCCTCCGAACTCGCGTTCTCGCAGTTACATTACTACGTGCCGGTTACGGAAACCGGCGCTGTTATTTCTACCGCGCGCTCGCCGTTTGCTCGCCGGGGTCTCTCGAATGCACGTAACCGTGGCGAGCGAACGGCTGACTCCGGATAATTACGCGACCGCTCCGAGTGCTTGTGGTGGTGCCGCTTCAAGTGCCGCGAGAACGAGTATGCACGGGCGTAAAGCCGGCAACGACAATGACATTTCGTGTTTGAGAAAGAATGTTCAATTACCGCGTATCCCATAGTTACGAGGGAATCAAATACATCGTCATGCTGTTGGCGCTGATAAGAGAAGAATAAATTGCAGAGAGCAAGGTCACTCGGTCCTAAGAGATGCCCCGTTTACGAACGTTTCCCCCTTTCTCTGCGTACCACAAAGAGGCAGCCGCGGGAATGCTCGATAAAGTAACATATTAATACCGAATATTGTAATACACGCGTTAACGAGGATAATTGAGATTGATCAATTTGCGCAGTCTATTTGCCTGCTAATAAACGTTTGGCGCGCCTGGTTAACATTTCGCGTTAAACACTCGCACTCGATATTAATTAGTTTTCATGTAGCGCGAAGTAATTATCCCCACGGAAAAAAATGTTTGAATGCGAAGTGCTATTAATTAAACTAGCTGCGGTGCATTCGGCCCTACGAAAACGTGAATGCACAAAGATGAAAATGCGGATTTCACGAGCGCTGTCACAAGCTACGTCATAAATCGTGCCAATCAACGTCCGACTATCCCAGCCATTAGAACGGTGTATTTAACTAGATTCTAATTGCGCCCCGATCAATACGATTTAAATCCTCGCGATCAAAGATAATAGCGGTACGTGCGCGCTATGGCACGCGTAATTGGTTGTAGCAGGTGCCTCATAGAAAGGCTAATCACTCGTTCTAATCTGCCGGCAAGTGAGGGCTCGCGAAGGGCAATTACTTCCCCCGAGAAGAGGTAATCCGCCGTAATTTGCATCGTTCACGTATGTGTATTCACGTTCTCAGATGTCTCTTTAATATATTATTAACGCGTACTACACGGTAGAATTCAATTACTGATTTTTTAATACAGAACGTTGACGGGACAACGTTTTACACGACTCGCGTGCTCTGCCCGACGTAAAACGTGCCAGTCGTTGTAAAACTATAAACTTACCGGATCGTCGCCGCATGTGGCAGGGCGAAATATTTTTGCCAAACAGCGCGAAAATAGCAGATCGAGCATGAGTGTCGAAAAGATACGGTCGACCGCCGCGCGCGAGTTAAAATCGCGAGGGCCATGCACATCCATATGTGAACGCGAGATTTATTCTGACGAATCAGAACAGGTGTCGTCCATCCTGGCGAAATATTCGGCAAGAGGATTTCGCAAGCTGATAACTCGGAGGGGATTCTCACGCCGCCGCGTGCTGTAAACGCGAAAATAACTGCACGAGAGTAGAAAGAGAAATTAAAAAATGCGCTTCTCCAGTACCGGATCAAACGTTTGCCGTAGCTTTTTTTTCATGAGATTGAATGAATGAGTTGAAATTTCGAGTGGGCGTACTCGCGAAATGGTGTTATTTTATGTGAAATTTAATTGTAACCCGAGTTTAATTCTGATTAAGGTTAATTATTTTCTCCCACATTTTGTGTTCCATAAAAAGCCTTCATTCAGCTAACGCTCTCAACAAGACCCTGATATTTAATACTTTATTACTTATTTCACGATTAGAGATTCAAGATTACTCACTTGTTTAGGTGTATTTAAAGATCTTGATGGATCTATGCACAAGTCGTAATCATGCTAATTATATTATAGAAGAGCAATCATGAATGAAGTATCACGTGCTTGCAGGAAATGATTCTGAACTTCCGTTGTGAAAGCGCTCGTCTAAAAAATGCATTACGAGCTGAATCTATCACTAAAGAGTCAAGAAGTTCAAAATGAGAATCCTAAACTCGATCCCTCCCGCCTCCAAAAAAAGAACAGCAGAAAGAGAAGAGAATCTCGTCCCGATTACTTTCGTTATCCAATAATTACGCGATTTACCCTTAAGCCGCATATTTCAACATAACCGCCGTGTAGGGAATAAAGGAAAAAGGGATGAGTATCGTGATGAGACGACGGAGAATGGTATAGGAACACAATGTAGCCTGAAAAGAGGGATAAAAGGCGACTCCTTTCAAACCGCCGTGAAATTTCGCCACGTCGAGGGCGCTGCATCAAGTAATTGAAGGCGCCTATCCGAGGTGAATCTCCCTCGGTTTTGTCGATAAACGCGCTTATCTCCGACCTCTTTGAATTATGGCGCGGCCGACCGTCTGCATTATGCAGATCAGCGGGTCATTAAGCCCGTGGGAAGAAGTCGCTCGTTGCTTCGCGGGCTCGGAAACGTCTTAATCCGACGACACGATGCGTATACTGCCATTGTCATCTACCAAATCATATAATTTACCGCTGTACGAAATTGATCAAAATTTGTTTTAACGCACTGTCATGGCCTAAAGACTGCTTTAGAATAATCACTGTTCTTTTCAATTTCAGATACTTCGATTAATTCGGAATCCATTTTTTTCTTGCTTTAGATTTCATTAATTGTACATTTTATCCGATTTCAATGTTCAATACCAAATACGACAAGGCAGCGATAAATTTTTTCCAACATTTTAAATATCAGGTATTCAAAAATAAACATTTAATATTCACATACAATTTCGCGTATTCCCAATGTTTGCATTTGTAAATAATTATTGTAAAATTATATGGTAATCGTACCTCAATATTTTAAAAGTGAGATTTGTTCGCAATGTTATATCCGATATTGTTGCAACCATAAATAATGTAATTAATAATATTTCATAAGCTTATCAGTGATAGATAAAGAGAACGTGTGCGTTCACATGTGTCGGAACCAACTCATATCTCGTTTTACAGGTCGACGCACCTTGTATCGAGTATCGTTCGTCCCTCCATGATTTTCGTCTCGAGATCGATGGTACGGAGAAGAAAACGGGGTGGGACTCAAAATTTTTACAAAGAATACGCCAACATCCTAACTAGAGATAACACCGTGCACATGATACGTGTGCGAGATATGAAATATGACGTAATAAATTATATGAGGTAGGTCAAACGATTACTCGATGGAATGCATTACGCTCGTAACTCAGACCGATTATATTTTTGTCGCGAACGGGCGTCTACGGAACGGATTAAAAGGAATGGCAATTTAAATGATTAATGGCACTCTTCTTCTCTATCTTTCTCGGATAATTCATTAATACAGTAGAATTCATTCACTACGGCCGTGAAATATTAACCGGGGAACGATCGACGTCCCTCCCTTGTCCCTCCCCAAATTACGTAATTCCTACGTAGGGCGAAATTCAAAGTGTCCTTTCCCACGGAAAATCACGTCCGTGCTTATGGAAGAGTATAATAACAATTTCGTCTAATTATAAGATACATAATTAATATAGACGAAAAATTTAAGGAAATTTCGAAGAATTGGAGATACGGTATATGAATTCACACATTTAATTGAAAATTATTGAGCTACCTTCATCCCGCACTAACCTAAAAAGCGATTTCTCGTTTCCTATTTGATCTAAAGAAATTAGTTTTTTTTATGGTATACGTAAAGCTGAAAATTTACCAGCGAAATAATTCGTACTGTTATTAGCGGGAAAATTGGGTTTTCGGATATGTTACTTTTTAACTGTTCCACAGTAATTATAATCCAAATAATATATAAGTATTTTTAACAGTCCAAGCGGAACATATCGATCCACGTAAAACGCAGAACAGCAAATACTTATATTTCAAAGATAAATTTACAATTAAGTACAAATGAAGATGTAGAACTCGCGTATTTGAAGCGGAATCTAGTTGAATTTCTTAGTCCGGATTATTTACTTTTAACTATTAACGTTTAAGATCCTGCCTCAAATTCTGCTATGAGTTACACAGAAAAAGTATTCCGCAAACACCGTATAGTATTTTGAAAAGTATATTTTAGAGATTAACTTAAAGTTCTGACACGGAAATATTGAAGTTTCTAAACTTCAATAAGCAATCAAAATTGGTTCATGGTTTTCCCGTAAAATTTGCGCACTCAACTTTATAACTTACACGCGTACCTATTTGTTATCAATTTGCGCATAAATATTGACTTCCTGCTAAATTAACTTTGCCTGCCGGTTTCTTAGCCTGTACGGCGATCAATTGTTACAACGTTGATTATATACTGAAAAATTTTTAACTGTTACATGCAAATTTAATTCACTAAAGTTAAGTTGAGAAAAATGAATAATGGAGTAATGAATGGCCACGAAAGAGACGAGAATATTGATTCATATAAAAATTAATATACAATAACTGATAATCAGTAAAATATTGTTCGTTTGTAAAAGTTTATGTAATACGTAATTCTGAAAAAAAAAACTGTAGAAAGACCAAACGCAAGTTTCAGATTTTACTAAAAGAATATTTCGAAGAGAAAACAGGACAATAAAATATAATACAACAAATATTAACGATTTTCTCCAAAATGTTCTTTACACGTTGTATGCAAGAAATAAAACACTGATTTTGTGTATATATTTCAAGATTATGTATCAATTTTAATATCTTTTAGAACAACGTAAACGACGAATCTACGAGATATCAGATTTATTTGTAATATTTTTATATTGTTATTAACGCGAAACGTATCTAGATATATCAAATATCTGATCCTATTTGCACAGATATATCCGTTACATAAAATACGATATATCCAGTTTATAGTAATACCCCAAATATTTTAATATAAATAATTGTTACGCAAATAAGATAATTATAATAAATTTGGTAAATAATTGTGAAATAAGAAACGGCTTACTCCGTAGTCGTCGCCCGATGCTTTCTAGACCCCTTCATCCCCACGGAGATTTCTTTGTCGCTTCTTCTTGATACACAAGATTCACTCGCGGGTAATTAGAAGCGCGCACTTTGGATTGTAATCTCGAATGCACTCGCGTGAGACGTGTGTTTCATAATACAGGTATTACGATAAAATATCATATTTATCCGATATAAAAATAATTACTGTCCAAGATAGCTTAACGATGCAACAATCTACAACTTCCGCCGTTTTTGTTCCAACTTGGAGTAAACAAGCTGCGCGCGACACTTGATCCAATAAGCTTTTACCTTGACTCGCTTACGTGTCGTTAACCACGGGAAATAATTAATCTCTCGGCTAATCAATAATAATATCCAAAATAATCGTGTATCGAGATACTTTCCGACACGTAGCTGCCGTCTCAGTAAATCCACAAGTCTCGCTGGTACAGTCTGACGATCACTACTCGCAACTATCACGAAGAATAATCGCGTTGGCGTCTCACACCACTTATCGGGACAACTATATGAAGAGTAATGCGTTGCTACACTGACTGGCTCGTTCCACTATCTGCGTGGTTGAATCTCGCCGCGCGATTGATAACAAAACGACCTTGTACAAACGCGGTGCAATACGTCGTACAAACACAAACATCGCGAGTCGCGTAGCGCCGTAGGGCGTTAGTCGCTGCGAAATATTTAATACTTCAAAACACATCTCTTCACGCCATATTCTACTTCAAAATAATAATTAATAATCAATGAATATATGTCATAGCTCGCGACTACTATCATCCGGTGATTTGCATTTACTTCGTGTCCCGACATCTGAAAATTACCCGAAAACTACGCGTAAACTAACGAAAAATTTCAAACACGAGGTGAGACTTAAATCCGAACTACAGTATAATACGAAGATATTACGAAACTGTAATTCATAATCGTTATTCTTTATTCTCCCAATTTGGGATATATAACTCGTGCAATGTAATAGTTTCGATAAAAATTTAACTAAAAGAATCTTTAATCACGAGAGAGAATTATTGTGAGTTGCCAGTTGCTATTTGTTTGTAGAGAAGTAATCGTATCCCGAAGGATAATAACGCGACGATACGCAGAACGGTTCGCGACACACAACCTGTTCGCTGGAAGGTTGGCACACGAATGGCAATAATACTGCGTGTACATACAGAATAGTACGCTATGCGCCAGGCGCCACCGGCCAGTTATTTTGTTTTACCGGTATTAAATACTTAAACAAATGCCGAATATTCGATTCCTTTCGGTAAAATTAATTTTAATTGACGCCTATTATTACATACCAACCCTAACATTTATTTCGAGTATAAAATTAATGTTTATTTAAGTAAAAAAGGTATTTATCGAGAGGTAAACCGCTGAGGGCATTGTGGTGTACAGATTTGCGGCATTACTGGGCATTTTTGGGGCATTAGTTTGGGCATTAGGCCTTGCTGGGACATTATGAAGATAAGATAAAACAAGATAAATGAGCTATTAAGATAAAGTAATGCTCACTGGGCATTAGTGGACATTGGTGTACATGAGTTTGGTGAGCGGTTTACCCCTCGGTACTTATGTAAATTATAAATTAATCATTATTTTTCCATACTTTTACGTTCTCAAGATGTAAGATGCAGATACAGTTATTACGGTAAAAGTTAAGAAATCGGATCTTTTAAGAAATATTATCCCACCATTTTAATAAACGAGAAAAACAAAATTATCATAAAAAAATATATAAATCATTTTATAATTTCCTGATTAAAATTACGATTTTTCTTTACATTATTTACCTACAACTAATATAATTAATTTTCGTCTCTGTTTTATTATAATTTGCATCTCTAATTAAAACCACACTGTTAAAGTGCGAGACGCTACATTATTTGCCTTTAATAAATTCTCGCGGTTAATTGGAGGTTAACATTTCCACTCTTTTATTAAGATTAGTCTTGCTGTGTACGCATAAAGAAAGAAAGAAAATTTACGTTAATTACAACGGATCGCATCGCTGCGTTTTTATGTTCATAATCTTAAAACGGGCACGAAGTGGCAGCAAAATCCCTCATGAATATTTCTTATGAGCTCCTTGATACGCTGTGAGTTTCATAGTTTCCATCCATCTTTATCCTTTTTATGAGTCAGAAGCAATATTTCTTTTTACTGTAATTTCTTTCATTATCTTTTTCATTACTTTTCATCTTTATCCTTTCCGCCCCAAGTTCTGATGTTGTATAACTGAATAACTTTGCTTCAAGCCATACGAAATGAAAATAAAAAATATGAAATTCCGCATCGTAAAGAATAATATTTAGCATTACTAATTTGGATATTTAAAATAAAAAGACATTTAAATACTTCTCGACCTCATCGGAGGCAGGAAAATGCCTCCGTACCTGACACGTGATACTCTTACCGAGGTCCTTAATAGAAAGCGCGTAAGATTGATTTCTGCCGGGGTTTATGCGGTTGCTACGTTGTGCGTGCGTCTGGCGTGCGCGCACACGTACATACGCATGTTCGCGCGAGCGCACGCCGCAACTACGGAGAGAGAGAAAGAGAGAGAGAGAGAGAGAGTCATTGCACCGAGGAGTCGGATCAATGAGGCTGATTACTCAGCTCTCCTCTTGCAGACACGAGACAGACCGGTCCAGCCGAGCGCACTTATTTTCCACAGAAATCGTCGTCAAGGGGGATGAGATCAAGTGGTATTGAAAACGCTTCCAGTTAAGAAGACTACCGAACGGATTTTGACGAGCCGCGTTGCGCGGAGAAAATTAAATAGCGTGAGTGAACGAAAGTTTATTGAATGGTAGATTCAAAGATGCAGAACTCGTCTATTAAAATATGCATAGTTTATTCAGTAACTCTAGCTCTATTCTTAGTTAGACTCGTCAGAAATAATTAAACGTAATTTATAGATTATATTCATATAGTCGTCACACATGTAATAGAAAATGCAGCCATTGGTTATAACTATGAAAGTATAATTATTGATTTGTAGCTTTCCATTAATCTAATTAATGCCAATGTACTTCCAGTAACAATATCGAGCCTATCTAAATGATATTTGAAACAGTATCTCTGCTAAATATGATTTCTTGTTAAAATGCAAAACTACCTTCGATAAAGTTATAGTACAACTGATGCGAGGTAAATTGCATCTCCTCGCGATGTAGTTTTCCTTCAGCCAATATCGCAAATATACGTCTAAGATCATAATGAGATATAACAGATAGATAGCAATAAAGATATTATTTTCTATTTTTATATCATAATAATATTAAATTGTACGCTGAACAAGTGTGAAACATAATATGCAAAATTTTATAGCGTAAAATTTAAGCGGAAATACCGTTACATAATTGAAAATCTCATCAAAATGACGATGAAAGTTACAGCTATGGCGGAGAAATTAACTGCAGTACAAAAGAGGAATTAAAAGGACGGCAAGGGAACTTTTCGATCATTAATAATTACAGACAATCTTCTTTCTAAAGACAAACGCTCTCCGCTGAAATGAATGTAACTAACTTATTTTTTTTTCTGTCCGTTCATTACTGATTCAATCGCAATTTCAGCTTGGAAAAAGAACAAAGATCTGCTTCGGCAAAATCTCATTTTCTCTTGTGTACAATATCGGCGACGCGCTTAGAATCAATTTCCTTCTCCTTTCAGCGCAATGCTGATACCGACATATATTTGCGATATTGGCTGAAGGAAAACTACGTCGCGTGGGGGATGCAATTTACGCGAGCTCGTACTCATGGCCGGATTGACGCCACACACCGCCGGCAGTCAATATCGAGAGGTGTAAATCGAAACATCGAAAAGTACATTTGGTATATCGCGATCCGCGTAATATATCCCGGCGGAATCTGCATGTGCAAGTACACCGGATACGTTGCCGGCGATGCGCCATCCTCCGTGTGGACCGCATGATTCTCAATTGCAAAATTACTCACAAGTGCAAGGCTGTACCGCAACGCTAACCGCAATTGATACTTCGCCCCGATGTATCAATGTCAAACACTGTAATACATGTGGGACGAGATAGTTGAGATAGATCGATTTTGTGCAGTCAGCTTGCCGGCAAACTCCATTATTTTACATTTTCACCCGATATTACTTATTTTCAAAGAGGTCTCTATTCATTATTTTTTTATCCCAAATCTTAGCAAAACTTTTACTTAAAATCTTTAATGTACATCTGTAAATGTGTATAATAAAAGATATGTCAAAATAGAGAACGGTCAGTGACTCAATTTTGTTAAATTCATCGTCCTGCCGCTTCCGTCTCATCATTTACGTCGCGAAGAACGATTGAAATGAAGATTATTGCGGAAAATGTGTTGCGTATATTATAAAAATATTCATCTTGTCTATTAGGCTCGATTTAGATCAGGCTCTAAATTGGCATCCGGCGCAACCGTCCCCAGCACTGTGACGCACGCACACACCGCGACAACCGGTGGCACTTCGACATGTCGGTCGGAAATGCGCGTAGCTTTAAGTGCGGCAACGCTCGAACTTCCAAAGGCGATGGCCATTGTGTCGGGGCACTGAGAACCGCTCCACGTTCCATCGACAGTGATCGATAAAGGGTGTGCGATTGGCCTACCGAGCGCGATCGAGATTCCGCGCGAGAATATAATAATGACGAGATGACATTGTTCAAGAGGAAAAGCCGGCGGGAAAATGGACGACGTGCTTGAACGAACTTGAAGAGTTCGTCATTCCCGGAAACCTCTTCGCGGTGACGCATCGTGGAAAATTATCGTCTGCATTGTTATTACGTTTTTACGCGGCCATAATTCCGCCTCTTAATGAAGTTTCCTGGTAAACCGCACACTTCTGCTACTGATAGAAAAATATGCAGTATTTGAAACTATAATTGCATAGTAAAATAATTAGCCAGGAATATCATTTTTACAGTAATTATTACTATAATATTAGTAATAGCAACCATATAGACACAGTGATGCCAACTATTTAGAAAAATTACTATAAAATATAAGCTTTTAACTATTATTCTGTTAAAAAATGTAGGCAGTGAATAGTAAATTAGTTAATTATTTTTATATAGTAAATACAATCACAATAATAGCAAATTTAACTACATTTCTATCATCCACCTTACTAATCACGTGGTAAACAAAAGTGAAGAGATTTGGAATGTCCTCACTTGAGGGACGCGCGGTATAAGACTTTCTCGTAACAAGAAAACAGCATAGTGTTATAAATACACATTAGTTTATACATTTGTATAAGGTGAAATAAAAATAATGTAATTAAACATGTAGACAATGAAATGATAGGCGCAAATAAAATCAAACTCATCAAGGATTTGTCTATCGACGACAAATCATATCAGTTAGATAAGACGTGCAAGGACACTGTTACGTCAAAAATATTAAAATTAATCATTCCTATAATTCTCGAAACTTTTGATTGCTGTTGAATAAATACTATTGCGGCGACAATATTGAAAAGATGTTAAAGAATCTGATCTCTGAGATAATCTCACTTTAATGAATTGTTACGTTCATTCCACCGCAATGATTACTCCAATCAATCCAGGCGTAAATGCAAAGGTAGACGCTGGTGAAAGCATTCAGACTGGTACTTGATCGCTTGTGCGGAGAGCAACTTGAAATCTAATTGAACAGCGGATTACGCTAGTCTTTAAGACAAGGCTAGAATGCAGTAGCGCGGTTGCAGCATAGAGAAATCGATTGCATTACATTCTTGGTGTTTTACGATCTTCGCTTACCTCACACTAACTAAATTGTAATAATCACTTTCACTCTCGCGAATCACGCTATGTAAGAAACAGCATTAATCAAATTTATTGTAATGCGCGTTGGAAAGCTTCAGAAAAAACGGTC